GACCCCACCCCCCCCCCCCCTTTTCCTCCCCTTTATCCTGGGAAATGAAAACAATTTATTTAATGATGGATCGTCCCTTTCTCTGGTCACTGACCTTCTGGGTGAATTTCTGCTGAGCTCGGCGGAAAACGCGAGGCTGGGTTGTGGATCCCATCTGTGGGTGGGGGAGGGGAGGGGGGGGGAGCTCACCCTCATCCTTCCCAAAAACCACAGCAACAGTCCCAGGGAGCAGAACAGGGCCAGTGGGGAGGGTCCCCACAACAGTGGGGGGCTTTTCTGCAGCTGCTGTCCCTGCAGCCTCGGGCCCAGGACTTTGGGACCAGATGCAGGGGCTGCAGCAGCCCCCAGAGCCCCCCACCCCATCCCCTTCTCTCTCCGGGAGACCCACAGGGGTTCCCGGCACCCACCGCCTCCTCCCTGACTTGGCCTGAGGTGCAAGGGCTGGGCCAGGGGACAGAGGAGCTGTACCCAGGGTGGGAGTGGGGGACAGAGGAGGGGTCTCCATCCTGCCAGCAGCCATGTTCCCCCTTGCTGCCCGGTGGTGGGGTGGTGAAGGGGTTTTCTCAGCTCAGGGTGGCCGCAGGAGGCGGTTTTCAGACCTGGCCAGGCAAGGGGGCCAGGCATGAGGCCGGGTGTGGGGACGGGGACGCATGCAGAGCTGCACGGGGCTCCCAGCAGTGGCCAGCAATGTGCACCCTGCAAGCAAGCAGTTTGGCCCCTGGCCAGTCCAGTGCTTGGCCGGGCTCTACTCCCTGGGGAGAGGAAAGCCGGGGGAGCGAGGGGAAGGGGCAGGATCACACCAAACAGCCACCCTTCGTTCAGGCGGGCTGTCAGCACCCAGCGTGCACCGCCCCAGGGCCCCGGGCATGGGTGCAGCCCAGCGTCCCCCCACCGGTCACGCTCAACCCCCAGCTGACCTGCAAAGCAGGGATGGAGCAATCCAGCGTCCAGCCCCCTCCCCTCTGGCCCTTCCTCTGCCATGGCCTGTTGCTCAAAGCATGGTTCTTGTAAAAAAGTGTAAATATTTATACAAGAATAATTTAAAAAACATGGTCTGTCAAATAATCAAAGCAGCAGAACATCTGAGGAGCTTTCAGCTGGATTGGGAAATCCGGTGTTGCTTTCTGACGCCATGCTGCGATGCTGGAGGTGCTCGCGGCCAGCCCCAGCCCTGCGGGCTGCTGGACTTGCCGGCACGGGTTCATGGCAGGTTTGAGGTCTTCATTAATAGGGTTTGTGGACCACAGTGGCAGGCATCGGTTTTAGCCTCATGTCCTGGTTTCAGCATTGTCCCCTGCACTGGGACCATGCCAGGGGCTGGAGAAATCTTTGGGTGAAGTGCTGCATCCCTGTCCTCCCCCGAGCTGCGTGGCAGGGCTGGGGACTGGCATGGGGAGTGGCAGGGTGGCAGACGAGCTGACAGGGTGGCCCCCAGTGCCATGGGGTGGCAGGGGTACTCCCTGGTGGCAACCCCATCCCTCCAGAGCCAGCAGCACCCTCAAAAGCATGGCTTTGCAGCAGTAGGGCGAGAGCCTTGGGCCAGGGTTTCCCCCAGGGAATGAGATTTGTGTTCATCTAAATGGTCCCACATCCCCGTTTGCACTGGTGTCACCAGTCACCAGCACAACCACAGCTCCTCTTCTGTGTCCCAGTGGTACCACATCCCCCCGGCACCACCGAGAAGCCCCAAGCTGCCACTCCCCCGGGAGGCAGAGGAACGGCCTTAAAATGGCAGTACCTGCAGGCCCCCAGCCCTGTTTCTTTCTGCTCACTTGGGGCTCCCCTGGCTAGGGCAAGGCAGGGGACACGATTGCCACCAAGCGATGACCCTGCCGCCATAGCTCAGCCAACCCGCAGCCACCAAATACCTTGGGGGATTTGGAAGGGGTACCCCTGTTTCCACAGCCCTGTAGAGCCAGAGGGCAGAGGCAGGCACTGCTGCAGGCTTGGGCAGCACAGCGGGAGCGGGAGCTGTGTGCTGCAGTAACCTCCGTCCTCCTGGCCGCCCTCCAGCCCCTTCCCACTACCCGCATTTATGCGCGTGATTCGTGTTCTTGCATTCTTTGAACCCGGGCCAGATAACGAGTTCAACCCCCTTCACTAAAACCTCAGCTCCCCCCCAGATGCCCGCAATCCTCCCTGGGCTACCTGGCTGCCTTGCCCGCCCCGGGGAGGGGGCTCCTGGGGCCAGTTCCCCTCCACGGGAGGTGATACTTGTGCCGTGCACGTGTTCTGCATCCGCGGGGAATGCTCTCTGCACTCGGCCTAATTAGCTGGAAGGGAGGGGGAGAGCCAAATCCAAACCATGTGCTGACCTGCAGGCCCCTCCGCCCGAAAGCATCCGTGCTGAACGCTCTCTGGATCGTTAATAGCTCCCTGGGTCCTTTCTGCACGTCCCCCCCCTCAAACACACAGGGCCTGACTCAGGGGGGGTAGGGCTTTGTGCTCTTTCCCAGTGGTTTTCCAGGACTGCCTTTCGTGGTAGGCAGCAGGCGGCCCCAGGGCTTTGAGCAGCAGCCAGGAGGAACCAGGGGACAACTGCCCGCAGATTTGGGGCAACCCTGGTGCTGTGACGCCAGGGAGAGACAGGCTTGGGGTTGGCCGAAGGACCTCTGCCTCCATCCTTCACTCCCAGAGGCGGCATCCGCCTCTCCCTCTGGCACAGCTTTGCAGTGAATGAGCTTGTCCCACAGCGTGCCTGGCACCTGCCAGCCTCCTCAGCCTCCTCAGCCTGCTCGCCGGGTGCCTGCAGAGCCCAGGAGGAAGCACCAGGTCCAAATGCTGCTGGGAACCATGCCAAGGCGTCTTGCTGAGGAGCATCGCTGGTTGTGGGTGCCAGGAAGGGCAGGGGAAGCCTGGGATGAGCGCCTGGGATGCCCTTGCACGGTCCCCACCCCAGTGTGACAGCCCCACCAAACGCACCCCCCAGGGTGGGCGTGGGGGGTCCCAGCCCCATTTTGGAGGCCACCAAGAAGCCGGACACCCTGAATGCAGATGCAGGTGGAGGAAAGGGGCATTTGCTCCTGGAGAGGGAGCAGGTGGCGGTGGCCAGAGCTTGGCCAGATGGTGCGGGGAAAGGGCTGCTTCCCCCCACGCTCCTCCAGCCTTCCCAGCACAGAGCCCGGCTTTGCACTGGCTCCAGCTCCTGGCCCAGAGGAAATGGCTGCCGGCCGTGGCCCACAGCTGTTTTCCCCGCTCGGTTTGCTGCTTTCAATTTGACATCCTGGGGGGCTGGATTGGGACGACGCAGGGGGAGCATTGCGGTGCTTTCCCATGTGAAGCCTGCCTGGAAGAAAATCCTTCCCTCATGCTCGGGATGGCTGCTGGCAGGGCTGCTCCCTCCTGCCTGCCCTGTCCATCTCTGGAGGGAAAACCTGCCTGCAGAAACCCAGGATGGCCCCTGCAGGGATGCTTGCAGCGGCGAAGGGCAGGTTGGTGCCACCATGTCCCTGTGTCCCTTAGGAGCTGAGCTTGAAGTGGAGTCTGGCATGACACAGCAGGGCTGGGAGACAGGACTTTTGGGAGCATGTGGCATGAAGTGGGCACAACCCCTGCCACGGGAGCATGGGGCTCACCTTCCCGGGTATGAGGTGGTAGATGGCGACAGCCAGAAGACACCCCCCCCCCCCGCACCCGACACAGCAGAGCTGGAGCTGGCA